GCTGTGAAATTGATTCACGGGTGAAAAGGCTATATTGCTTTACCAGTGCCGAGAGAGGAAGGACACAGCGTTGAAACTTTGATAACAACAAATTGAGGACAATGTCCGATATATTGTTTGCGGAGAATTGTTTTGTGAAATTTTCGAAATTTCGCTTTTGAAATTGTGAGAATTTTAAGGAGTTTCTCTCAACGTTATTTCGTTTCCGCACTAACCGCAATTGATTTCGTCTCGCATTTCTTCTCACGTATTCTTTGTCTATTCATTTGAATTATTTTTATTTCTAGAGCAAACGGGGATTAAAAATCGCGTGGCAGTTGAACTCTTTCATTGCAAAAAACAGTATCTTTAATTAAATTCAGACTCCACTATGGAAGAAAATTAAACGCAAAACTTTACAATACAATGAGTGACTTTTGTAAAAATGCTGTGGCTGGAAAAAAATACACGTAAAATAAATTTAATTATAAAAGCTTACACACACACACACACACACACACACACACACACACACACACACACACACACATACGAAACTTTACATTAATATTTCATTTTACAAGTAATAGATCGAAAGATGCAAATGATGATTCGCTTGTTGTTCAGTTAACTCAAATCGTACGATACGAATTTCCCAATCGATTACAAACAATTGAGAACACCAATATGAAAAAGGATGAAAACGATCGTGTTACTGGTCCAAATGTGTCGTCATAGACAAACGTCGCGGTGGTTTTCGATGCAAATGATTTATCGGTCTGTCGGCAGCACTCGCAGTAAGTTGACGACCATTCAATCGAGGTAACGAGAACAAATTGCGAATAGAGCGATACTCATTTCTCCTCTTTGGCTCTTTCGTGAAATGAACATCGCGATCCGTTTGATTCAATACTTGACAACGACTTAATGAGAATCAGACGGATCCGGATGTAAACTCATTTATCGATCTGACAAATTATTTAAGCTGTTCTAATGAGAGAGAGTTGCTTCTAGCTAGTGGTACTTCGTTTTGGGGTGTCTGCAATGTTTGGTTATCAAACGTCGGCAGATCTGAAAGAAAAAAGGGAAAGAAAAAGAAAAGCAAAGAAGCAAATGAAAAGATAAAACTTTCACATCCTTTATTGCCTTCCTAGATGAAATAAAGTGGAAGATAGAGAAGAATAAAGAGGACTAATGCGAACGAACTCGAGATAAAAGAAATATTACCACGAAAAAAGGTAACCAGGATAACTTTTTGCTCATAACGTCAGCAAATGGTATAATGTTTGCATTCGTAATGAATCATTTTCTATTTCTTATATAGGCAGATGACGAAGCTTCTCTAGCGTACCAATCATCACGTGAGCAATAATAGAAATGATAATTAAAGAGATCATCAAAGGAAGTGTTGCTCCTCGTATGATTAAAGCGATTTTAATTGAAAACTTGAATCTGGATATGACATTATTATAAATGTCTATTACGGTCAAAGCTGGATCTTTAAATAATTCAA